GCGCTGCGGGGGGAGGAGAACCCGGCTCGCCTGGTCCGTTTGGGCTTCGATTGAGGTCGGACGTTGGCAGTAAAATAGGATTAGCTGGGGGAAGGTTATTAGACAAAATCCGTGCAATTTGTCTAATCTGAGGTGCTTATTTAACACAGTAAGGAGATTATTTTGAAATATAATTTTGACTTGACACTGACCCACTAATAGAGACTCGTTGCAGCTTTGCACAGCTCGAGCGGGAACCGGAGTCCTTCGGCAGAAGGAGAAAAGTGCCTGTTTAACAGCACAGACAAGCTGAAGGGTTCGCTCGCAGCAGAGCTGGCCCTGCCCGCTCCCTGCTCCAACCCACGGCCCTCGCCGGCGAGGAGTGCGGTGCGGTTGCGTCCCCCTAAAGAAGGAGCCAAAGGGCACAGCAGCCAGGAAGGCAGCTGGTGTATGAAATGAGCCCGTCCTCAGCCAGGTCTCACGTCCTTGAGGCCCAGGGCTCCCCGTCTTCCCCAGTGCCCAACCGTGCCAGGGCTCAGGGCACGGGCATGCCCTTCAGGGTGCGTGTCCCCTGGGACTGTGCCAGGGCTCAGGGCACAGGCATGCCCTTCAGGGTGCGTGTCCCCTGGCACCAGCCCCCCCGGAGAGCCCTGCAGACAGAGCTCCTGCAGCTCAAAGGGAGGAGATTAAGGGGAGCGAAAAGCCGTGTCTGGCTCCCTGCACAGGAGGATCTCTGTCTCGGCACCAGATGGCATTAATAGCATTATTGTGCACGGCTTGCGGACACCCACGTGTGCACGCACCCTCACACAACCCTTCGCACCCCTGGCTGGGGCTCGGGGGCTGTGCCACGGGTCGGGGGCACTGACAGGGTGTGCCGCGGCAGAGCAGGACACGTTGCCAGCGCTTGAAGACTCACACTGGGGGTTACATTTGGAGGCCAGGCTATTATCAGAGCTAAACTGCGAGCAGCCTAGCTACGTGCCCCTCCAGGGTGGAGCCGGGGAACCTGGGAACCAGGAACAGGGGAAAGGCATAAGCAAATTATACGATGCACGGTAAATATGGCCTCCCTGTGCCAGGGGCAGGGGTGCTGCCAGCAGCCCCTGCTCGCCGGGCCGGCACACGGGTGTAAGCTGCTTCCGAGGCAGGGCTCTCTGCTCCTCTCCACGCCTCCACAGTCCTTTGCTTTGGATGTTGAGCCCAGGAGCTATGGGAGCAGGAAGCTGGGAAGACTACAGGGAAAGGCCACCACGTCTCCGCTTGGCTGCCTTTCTCCTGCCGCTGCCCTGGTGAGAGGCTCCTGCTCTCCCCGGGGACTGGGCAGGTGGAGTCGTGGTCCCCGTCGGAGGGTGCCCCGCGAGACAAGTCCCAGCCCCACAGCCCTTTCGCTGCGCCCGCAGCCCCGCAGGTCAGCTGGGAGCTGCGGCCTCGGTGAGGACGCGTTCGTCTTCTCCCCTGAACCAGGCAATCTTGGAGGATTTCTCTCACAGTCCCTTGAGCCATTAATCTTCTCAAAATAAATCTTTTCTGTGACACAAAGGGGATTGGGTAAATAATACAGTGGACAACTGGAGTGTCCTTTTCCTCTGGGAAGACTTCCAGTTCTGAACAGCTTCCCCTTGGCACTGGCTATTCCCTGTTTGCTTTGCCAGTCTCCGAACGGACAGGTACAAGGGAGGAGGGGCTCCGGCCAGCTGTGGCTTGGCCAGCTCTTGTGCTTAATGCACGACTGAATGCGAGGAGATGAGGCACCGGGGCAGGAACAGGAGCAGCAGCCAGGGAGGCTGGCTGCTCAGCTCGCCCAGCCTGGAGTCCGCCAGCACTGCTCCGCCATCTCCATGATGCCAGGGACACATTTGGCCCGTGAGGAAACGTGAATGCAAAATGTCTCCTCATTAGTTAAAACAGGAGAGCAGCAAATGGTGACTAATGGAGCCAAAGAGGAACACTTGACGCTGTGGAGAGATGGGGCCGGGCTGGCGGGAAGCCAGCCACACGCCTCGTTCTCCCTTTGTTCTGCTCCCGAAAAGGCAGCGCATCCATCAACAGCAACGTGTCTGCCAAAACAGCAGCGCTCCACGGTCTTAAATTATCCTCCCAACCAAAGTAAATAACATTGCAGCCCTCATTTCCGTGTTGCACGTGCCCCAAAGCAGTGGTTATTAGGAAATAACTGCTCACACTGAGATGGACGGCTGCCCCGGAGCCGGGCCTGCAGAACAGCCATGCAGCAGCGATGCCGGGTGAGCGCAGCCCAGCAGCTCAGCTTCAGCAGCGCGAGCCCAGGGAAGGACAGGCTGGCTCCTCACGGCAGGTTTCACAGTGGGCTGAAGCTGGGAAGCAAAGAAGTGTCCTCGTGAATCCAGTCTGTGTGTCTCAGGACCATGCCTTGGCCCTGCTAAAACCTTGCAGAGCCGCTGGTGACTCCAGGCTTGCCCTGGAGCTGGCAAGGACACGGACCCTGCTTGCCTCCCTTGTACCGGGCTTCCCTCTGCTCTGTGTCGGGACTCCTGCCAGGCCTGGGCGCACACCTCGCACACCCTCCCCTCAGCCAGGCTTGAAAACCCGGGATGCTGAAATACTGCTCAGTGACAGGAGTACAAACTCTGCCGCTAGTCTCCCTGACTTGCGCTCCTAAGTCGCTTGGGCATCGGGGAAATCCTGCCCACAGCTGCGTGTCGGGATCGTAAGAGCCGGCCAGGGTGGATGCGCGGGCTGGCGTGCCCCTGCCGGGAGCGGGGCCGGACACCCCGGGGTGCCCGGG